GCTCTCTCCCTCTATACGGTTAACCGAGCACTATACGGTTTGGAGCACAGTCTGTTCTGTCTCGCATGCACGCTCTTGCTCGCTCGCTCTAGATTCCGGGAGATTTTAACTAATTTGCGGGCATTAGGGAGCCATTATGCGGGTCTGATAGCAACGGGATTAATGAAGATGCTGAAGACAAAACGCTCCAAGGTTTGGCTGCATTTCACTTGTAAAATTACGCATCAGAGTTAGTGTGCCGATTGTCTGAAGCCCATATAGAATCACGCCAATCCATTGGCCAATGCCGCGGGCGCCGGCTTAACGATCTTACCTCGTCATATTATATTAGCGCGCATTATCTGATTTCATTGTGCGAAATGATTTCCAGGCGGTAGCGTAGAGTGAAGCTCAACTCTAGTCTACATTGATGGGCGGAGTAGTGGGAGTGGCCTGCGGAGCTGAGCATTGCAATGCACTATGGGGATTGTTGTCTACAATCCACAAGCACTAAAAAGTCATTTTCTGCCTTTTATTGGCCAAGAAGGACCCAAATTCGAAATTTATGATAATTCTACTACATATACGACCCACTTTCAATACATATTCATGTCTCCACTGTTAATTACCCTTTAAGGTTCTTCACACATGCAACCATCCTATATGTATAGAGACCATATGATGTTATTTTACAAGGTCATTGTTTTGTTTATTGGGAATAGTAGAATAAGTTAACATGCTTTAATGTTAAAAAAAGATATATTTTTTTTATAAACTGTACATTATTGCCGAAACTCTGTTCCCTGTCTCTCAGTAAGGCTCTGATTGAATTCCAGTTTCTTCAAAGCCACTCCTTCTGAAAGCCCAGAGTGCTCTGATTGGCCAGCTGACCCAGTGCATTGTGTTTGGCCAAACACTTGAAGCATGTGTCTAAAATGTAACGCCCCTTACCATAATAGCAAGCTTCAGCCTCTAATACCCAGTACACACTGTATGATTTCGGGCTGTCCCAGATGAAAGATGACCAAGCGTGGTGATTTCAGTGGTAGTGGCTCCTAAACGGTGGACCTACATCGAACAGTGAAAGAGGTTCAAAGACGGCCGTTGTGACGCTATTGCGACCAAAGATAGCCGAAAATTGACACTGACGCTAAAACATAAAACTACTAACCTCCATTTGCAAAATTTGCCATGCCAAATGGCCTCTTTTCCCTAGCTATGACACATAGGACTCTCTCAAGTTCAGGAATCTGTCATCCTTTAAATGCGCATTACACAAGCTAACTTAACTTTTGGTTGTACGTACTATTCAGGTACAGTCACCACTGATTCCTAATTTCATCTATTTTGGGAAGGCCAAACAAAAGGGGTTTACTTTCACATAGGAACACACAGCGTCTCAACAACATGGCGACAAGACTACAATTTACTGAGGCCTCGTCTTCCTTCTTTGCATTTGCATTATGCTAATATTTCAAATCTGGACTTTGATCAAGGCATTTTACGCAAGTCTGGATCAATGTTCCCTCTTGTAGGAGACTATGAGCTTTTCCAGATCTTATACATGCACAAACAGATACATTACACACTAAAGGCAAAAGAAAACATTAAAAAGCAACTGACATATGATGAATTTTACAGATCCTGGTATCGCTGGAACACCACGTCATACCACCACTGAGCACCTCTGAAGAGCTCCAGTACATCCGGAAGGGAACAGCCTCACTTCATAACTCACCAGACGAGAAAGGTCTTTGAAAGAAAGGAAATATTCATTCTGTAATGTTTACAACCTGCACTAAACGTGGAGGCAGAACACAGAGAACCACTATTCTGCTTCTCATGGTCTAATGTTCAAAATGCTTGTGAATAGAGCTTCACTGCTAATTACTGAAGGGAAAAAGCACTAATATGCATCGGCACATTGTTTAGATATGCAAACTTGCTGCAAAGAGCATGACAGACATGTTTCAGGAGAGCTTTTAATGTGCGTGAAAAACCTTATTTCACTTTCTGTCCGAAATCTCTGTGCCAATTTTGTTGGAAATGAAGGTTCAAATCTGACTTTGTGTATTGATAACGGCGAATAAACTGCACAAAACAAAACACAAACTTTTTTTAAAAAAAAAACACTGATATCTGAATAGCTTGTTTACATATTGCTTTATTAGAAATTTGTGTCACTGTTGTATAATTTAATGCGGAAAGGTTCATTAATTTTAGTCGCAAGGTCAAGACTGGAACTGCTGGCTCTGATATGTGCAGTTATTTTGAGACAACATTTAGTTGATTGGTCAGCATAGTTTACATTTCTTAATATATTTTCGGCATGCACCTAGTTTTGTGTTTCTGAATTTTTCTAAGGATTTCTGGCAGGGAAAACATTTTATATGCCTGCTGTGGAATATAAGCATTTCACACTATTTTTTTTTTATGCAGCATTGTCCAAAGCATTTGAAGTGCCTGGAGTTTCACATTTTAGCTTTACTGTATGATTAATAATATTTTCTAGATATTGTTTGGTTGTTCTTTGCTTTTTGAAAATTTGTATAACACTGTTGTATATTTCAATTTCACTGTTTGACTGTAATTAAAATGTGCACTTACATATGCCTCTTTTTCTTATGTACTATTCAACACATATGCATTTGGGGACATATAATTATGTCATAATTAGAAGATAGAAGTCAAAATGATGCGATAAACAGCAATCAAACCAACAATAGAGCAACAACATGCAAATGCTGTGACTATAATCCCAGTTTATAGCAAGTTATATATATATATAGAGAGAGAGAGAGAGAGTAGTAAGTTTTAATGGGTCAAGTGTTGACGAAAAAAAGATACGTCTTCAGCCATTTCTTGAAAATGGAAAACTCAATTAAGGCAGGTCATTCCACCAGCAGGGAACAGTCAAAGTAAAATTCTTTGAAAGTAATTTTGTACCTCTTGGGATGGCACCATAAGACGCTGTTCACTTTCAGAATGATTGGCAACCAGTTTAATTGAATGAGGAGAGGTGCTCTCTTCGGCTCATCAAAGACCACTCAGCATTCTGGATCAGTTGCAGAGGTTTGGCAGTCCATGGTGGAAGGCCTGCCAAGAGAGAATCACAATAGTCCAATCTGGATAGAACAAGAGCTTGGACAAGGGATTGTGTAGCATGCTCCGATAGGAAGAGCTGACCGGGCAGTTCTAGCATTGTGGTCTGTGAAGTTTAACTGATCATGAATCACAACTCCAAGGTTCCTGGCTGTCCTGGATGGAGTTATGGTTGACAAACCTAGTGGAAGGGAGGAGTTGTGAGGAAGAGTTGGGTTGGCCTGGATCACCAAGGTTGAGAAAATGGTGGTCCTTCATCTTGCAATAAATGTCTGTCAAGCAGGCCAAGATCTGAGCAGCTACCATCGGATCATCTGGTTGGGATGAGAGGTAGAGTTCAGCGTATGATCAGCGTAGCAGTGATAGGAAAAACATGTTTGTCAGTGACAGATCCTAGTGATGAAAAGTAGAAGGAGAAAAGAAATGGTCCCAGCACTGAGCCCTGAGGCACCCCAGTAACTAGATGTTGTGACTTAGACACCTTACCCTTCCATGACACCCTGAAGGACATAACTGAGATCATTGGAGTGTGGTTCCTGGGATACCCTTCGTCATTAGGTTTGACAAGACTGTCAAAAGCATCAGACAGATCCAGGAAGATGAGTAATGAGGGTTTGGAAGCTGCTCTTCCCAGTCTCAGAGCTTCTACTGAGGACTTGGCCGTCTCAGATGAGTGGCCACTTTTGAATCCATACTGGTTGTTGTCCAGGAGATTGTTCTGTGGAAGGTAGAACACAACTCGTTCAAGTGTTTTATAGAGCCCGACCGATAAAGGATTTTGAAGGCTGATACCGATACAAATATTTTTGGTTTTAAAATCCGATATTCCGATATATCGGCCGATATTTTATTTATTTATTCATTTTAAACTGGATATGATAGTCACACATTTTGTCATGCTTATTTGAGTTAAGAGAACTGATGGGGATGTTCTTTTAATTGTTGTCACAAGCAATGTCTGTATCGTGCCAACAGGAACGGTGTAAACGGTGTTTTGTGGAGGGCAAACTATACAACTCCAACACTCATGACATGGTTCAAACGTGTTTTGTCCGTTTTTATTTTATTTTTGAAATATTCATTTATCGGCCATTATAACTGCCGATACCGATAGTTTGGAAAATGCCTAATATCGGCCAATAATATCGGTCTGCCGATATTTCGGTCTGGCTCTAGTGTTTTAGCATTGAATCAAAGAAGGGACACCAGTCTGTAATTTTCTAAAAGTGCTAGGTGGATTAGAATGGGTTTCTTAAGCAGTTGGGTTATCCGAGCCTGTGGGAAAGGTACCAGTATGGGGAGAGGTGTTGATGATGTGAGTAAGTGCGGGTACAACTGAGGAAGAAATGACTTGAAGGAGATGAGTGGGTATAGGATCAAGCGGACAGGTAGTAGGGTGATTGGAAAGGAAGAGTTTGGAGACTGTCTCCGAGATCAGAGAATGTCGATTTTTTTTTCTTGTGAGATCAATATTGATTTCACAAGAAGCCATGCTTGCGATTGTAATAAAGAAATATTTTAGTCTGTTTGTTCCACAAAGCTATCATATGACTTCAGAAGGTGATGTGGAATATAGTGCATTGTGGACTACTTTTATGGTACTTTCGAAGCTTGAAGATTCATCATTTTGTGTTCCACATAACAAAGAAAGTCATAAGGGTTTGGAAAAATATGACGTAATGATTAGTCATTGTCCCTCAACTAGTCAATGTAATGAAGGATTTAAGGTGTCAGTTAGAATATGCATTCCATTGAAGGATTGAAGGCCCTCCCTAAGGTGTATCGAAGGGAAGGGCTGTTATTTTATACACACCTGGACAGACCTGTTCTCTGTGCTCACTGATTGGCTCAATCATTCCATTCTGTCCTGCTTGTCTGGTTTTCAGCCATACTGTTATTTTTTATTTCCCATTCCACAGATTTATCCAGAGCATTGTGAGTCGTGCACACGCCTGAACTCTACGGGACAATATGCTGACTGTGCTCTTCATCCTGGGCGCGTTGTCTCGCCTAAACTTTGCAGCAGGTAAAAATGATACATTTTTATAGCTTCACATTACGACTACAATTTGTTGCCAGTAAGTATTTAAATACATTTAGTAAGTGTTTATTCAAAGGCTTTGATACTTATTTGCTTTCTAGACATCCCTATTAAATTGCTGAGTCCTGAAACAGACGGGGTCGTGGCGGGCAGATTCCCAAACTCTTTTCTACTGAAACTGCCTGATTGCTCTATTTATGGAAACAAATCCGCTCAAGTGCTGTACATAGAACTGCCCAGCAATGCAAGCAGTATGCATCACTTTCATCCTGAATTTGGTTCACATGCCATTGACTAAATAGTAAGCATTATGACTTGTGTGTCTTGCAGAAACAGAGTCTTTCGAAGTTCCATATTGTCCTGTCAGTCTGCCAGGGTACCTTCTGAAAGACCTAAAAAGTGGAACAACTTACAAGTATGTGTGTGTGTGTGTGTACAGGCTTGGCTCATATATATCAGCTTTTGCTTTAAATCTTATTATGCTTGTGTGCTTCAGTAAATAATTTTTACAGTAAATAGTAAAATTGTATAAAACCCCACAAACTATAAAAATGACTTGATGGTTTAACTTATAGAAACCTAGTTGCTTCATTAATTCTAAAATTCGAGTTAATACAAAAAGATTAGTTCGTTTAGCAATAGAAAAAAACAGAGATTCTAATTATTGGACCAAAAACTTCTGCACGTAATAACCTGGAATGCTGTCTAACACTTAATGGCTGCTCTGTCAAGTATTCATCGTCGGGTAGTAACCTGGGTGTGCTCTTTGATACCAATCTTTCAATTGAAAGCCACATTTCTAGTATCATTAAAACTGCATTCTTCCATCTTAAAATGATAAATTACGACATATGCTTTCAATGACAAATGCGAAACAGTTAGCTCTTGCGTTCATGAACTTAAGGCTAGATTATTGTAATGCTCTACTGACTGGATACCCTGATTGCACAATAAACAAGTCCAGCTGGTCCAAAACGTAGGACCTCGAGTTCTTACCAGAACCGGCAGGAAGAATGACCATTAAACATTGTATACATTTTAAAATCTTGCTGATTACTTACAAAGCACTAAATAGTTTAGCTCCCCAGTACTTGAGCGAGCTCTTAAAGGGATACTCCACTTTTTTTTGGAAATAGGCTCATTTTACAACTCCCCCAGAGTTAAACTGTTGAGTTTTACCTTTTTTGAATCCATTCAGCCGATCTCCGGTTCTGGCGGTACCACTTTTAGCATAGCTTAGCATACATCATTGAAGTGCACAAGACCGTTAGCATTTCTCCCAAAACAATTACCAAAGTGTTTCGATAATTTTCCTATTTAAAACTTGACTCTTCTATAGTTACATCGTGCACTAAGACAGACGGAAAATGTAAAGTTGCGATTTTCTAGGCTGATATGACTAGGAACTATACTCTCATTCCTGCGTAATAATCAGGAAACTTCACTGTCGTACCATGAGTGCAGCAGGCGTAATGTTATGACGCAGCGCCTGAAAATAGTGCCCAGCTTCCAACGTGACAGGGACTAAGTTTGTGTAGTCATCGCGTCTGCTGCACTCATGGTACGGCAGTGAAGTTTCCTGATTATTACGCAGGAATGAGATTATAGTTCCTAGTCATATCAGCCTAGAAAATCGCAACTTTACATTTTCCGTCTGTCTTAGTGCACGATGTAACTACAGAAGAGTCAATAGGAAAAATATCGAAACACTTTGGTAATTTTTTTTGGGGAGAAATGCTAATGGTCTTGTGCACACCAATGATGTATGCTGAGCTATGCTAAAAGTGGTACCGCCAGAACCAGAGATCGGCTGAATGGATTCAAAAAAGGTAAAACTCAACAGTATAACTCTGGGGGAGTTGTAAAATGATTTTTTACAATTTCCAAAAAAAGTGGAGTATCCCTTTAACACATTATAGTCCTTCACGTCTTTTGTGATCTCAAAATTCTGGCTAGTTGATATTACCTTTCAAAATTGACTGCTGGCGGTATATCCCTTTCCTATTTATCTCCTAAACTTTGTAACAGTTTCCCTAACATTATCCGGGAAGCAGATACACTCTGTCAGTTTAAATCTAGATAAAAACACATCTCTTTGACCTAGCATACACATAACAAATTATAGACTTCTATAATTCAGTGTTAGGCTGCATAGATTAGGTCATCTGGAACTGGGAACACTTCCCATAAATCCTGATGTACTCGTTACATCATAAGAATGGCGTCTACGCTAATATTAGTCTCTCTGTTTATCCAGAGGTTTACCGTAGTCCACCGAATCCAGGCCGTATTCGGATCTGAAGAAGTATGTGCGCCTGGACACGACGACAACGCAGTCCTGAAGTATTAGATCTATATAACCCTGAAGTATTATACAGGCCAGACAAGTAATTTGGTGAAGTCAATTTTTAAAGAAAGACTACATGCCTACACAGATTTATATTCAAACGCGCATACATATAGACTAATATTAAAGTCCTTTCTCCTATCTGAATGAATGGGCAGAGAGTCAGACCTGCAGTTTCACTGGTCACCATATTTTATGTCCCATTAAAACTCTATGTATAGAAACAGCAGTACATTATGACAAAAATCGCTGAAAAAGTTTGATGATTTTGCCATAAAATAAGGTTTAAAACGCCCTTTTCCCCACAGGCTATATTTTTACTACGCATGAGCAAGGGTTTTTGTCTCCGCTGTCACAAACATCAAATGTGTCGTGTGCATCAGTGGAACCAGATGATAGGCTTAAATGTTTCCCGGCTTGACTATTAAAAGCAGACGATTGGCTTTCCAGCGGGAGGGGCGGGGCATGTGTATACAACCGCCATCTTTGGCGTTACGGGTTTTCCCTATAGACCATTTCACAAGATGTAAACAGCACTGGTCCAGAAGCACTTCCTGTTTCAGTTTGTAACTGTTTTCTTTATTTCACATGTAAAGAAAACATCTTAAAGATGTTTGTTTAACTTTTTGATTCAGTTTTATATGTTCTGTTGGTTGTATTTTATCCCAGCTCTTATGTAGTGTTAAAAAACTGAAACAGGAAGTGCTTCTGGTCCAGTGTTGTTTACATCTTGTGAAATGGTCTATATAGTTGTACTGAGGATTTAGGAAGTGGCATGTCTCTATATAAATTGTCTCTGCTAATATGCGTAATATAGGCCTACATGTAATACACATGCGCACGCCATCACGTTTTCTCAGATTCACGTTTTTGAAGTTTACATGGATAACGTTTTTCAAAATTTTTCAAAACGTGCACCTTGGAACCTATTTCAAAAATTACGTTCTTGAGCCACTAAACACTTGTGCAAATGAACGGCCAGAACACATTAAAAGTTTTCTGTTTTCAGTTTACACTGTGTCGTGAAAGCGGCCTCTAAATTAATAACTAACGATCTTTCCAACTGAAGTGAATCAATCAAAACTTTTTAAAGCCAAAACAATAATCCAAAAGTTTTCTGTGATGGGTAGGTTTAGGACTAGGGTTAGCGTAAATCGATGTAATATCATTATACAAATCATTATGCCTTGGAATTTACCCATAAAAAATGCATCACTCAGCAAATCAAATCTTATTATAAATGTCTTTATCTTTCAGCGTGATGTACAAAATTGAAAATGATACCAGCACAGTCTTGACTGAAACGACTACCACCGGTAGGCCTAATAGACTTTCTGTGATTTGAAATAAGCTGCTTGGAATAAATTATAGACTTAATAATTTTATTATGAAATATCTTTTATCATATAAAAAATGTAAAGAATGAATGAATCCCCAGTTTTGTATTGTGAATCTGGCCTGTTCATTTTTTTCCAGTCACTGATTATCAACAGATAAACGCTGGTCTCCCCGCACGCAGTGGAGCCATGGTGGTCATCACCGTCATTTTGTCTTTGGCTATGGTGGCCCTCCTGGTTGGACTCATTTTTAGTTTATTCTTTACAGGCTGAGCTCAGTGTGATTCACTTCAATAACACTTCATGAAATCTATTTGACTTTTATAAGTAATTGAAACACAGTTTGTATACATTTAGAAAATGTCAGTCTAAATTAATATACCTATTGTGTTGGATGTAAAAGGGAATTACACACATGTAGCCTAGGCTACTATAATTATCAGTAATTTCAAACTGGATAGTGTGTTGCTTTTCAAATAAATTGTGTTCCTTAAATGCATGTTTTTTTTTGTTTATTGGTTTGTTTTCAAACATAAATGAGTTTCTTTAGAATAAGTGACAGAATTCAAATGAAAGGTTTAACTCTTTTCTCAAAACACACCTTGTCAAGAGGGGTGCATTTTCCAGAAATATTCGCCACGTTTTATCTTTCTAGTTTCATAGCCTATAGCCTAGCTCATTATGTTGATAAATCTTTTTTATTATTATTATTTTAGATAGGCCTAAAGTATTTCAAGATGGCATTCCACTCAAATCAATGTCAATGAATATAGCGAGGCATGTTGTCACAAAACGTGGACATGTTAAGCTGTTTGAACTGTCGGATATTTCCTGGTCAACAAACAGTAGGCTATGGAAATGTTTAACATGTTTTTGTAGTCATCATGCGCATAAAAGACATACTGATTTTAGAATGACCATTGGCCCCAGTGATCAATGAAAACTTGTTGAACACTCTTGATTCCTAATGATTCTCACCTGTTATAATAAACGATATCGCCACAGTTGAAGTCTTAATTGATACAACGACACATTCATTCGAATAAAAAGATATTTACACAAGTTTTGCTGGCTATTGTAGGCAAACATAGTCGACAAAATGAATTTACAGCTTCAATCCAAAAGCAGAATTCTCGACCTTCATTTAACCAGCGGCTTACATGACTGGGACATGAACGAAGAAATAAAGTTAACGACGACGACTGATCAGTTTTACCACGGTAATATAATGTCAGTGAGTAGACTAATTCACTCGAGTCTGCGAAACAGGGTCGTTTGTTGAGTAAGTATCATTGAAGTGTCGTGGTTTGGCAGATGACAAGCGGACTGACCAGTATCTGGCCCAGTGGCACTACGCCAGAATCTCCAGAAGATCGTTACCAGTAACACCAGCAGCAGCTCACAGTTTCCAGCTCCCGCTCAGTGCCAGAGGTGTGTGTTCATCCGTCACATCACTTCACAAATGATAATATAATCTCCCACTACACCATTCATATGAACAAAACAGATTTATTATATTTATTTAAAGTGTCCTTTCAAGTTTATTTTATTACATTTCATGTTTATTTTTTTATAACATTCCATTCATTTTTGTTTTATGTAAAGTTTAAATGTTTATTTTCAAAATACAAAAGTCTTTCAAATATTATTAGTTTTCTTGGTGGTAGATGGTAGAATAGTGTTTGACTCTCTGAAAGAGGCTCCTTTTTGATTGGTTCCAAATTATACTTTCTGATAGGAATCTTGTGGATATTCCTTTTTAAGTAGGGCTGTCAAATGATTAATCACGATTACCCAACAAATTTAGCCTAGGTTCTGGTAACGTTAGTTTTTGGTTCCCAGAACGTTCCTGGAACTTTCCCTTAAGGTTAAGGGAACGTTTCGTAACATTCTCCTGTTAGCCTATAAAAATGGAACCTAAAAATAACCTACATGGAACGTTCCTATATTACGTTTTTATTGGTTCCCAAAAATGACCTCACGGGAACGTTTATGGGACTGTTCTGTGTTTGCTGGGTAATCACATCCAAAATAAAAGTTTGTTTACATAATATATGTGGGTGCACTGTGTATAATTATTTTATGTATATATAAATACACACACATGCTTGTAGCCTATATAAGTAATATTTTCATGTACATACTATAGATTTATATATAATTTATATTATATATAAATATAATATGTTTTTATACATATATAATATACACAAAATAATTATACACAGTGCACCAACATATTATGTAAACACAAACTTTTATTTTGGATGTGATTATTTGTGATTCAACATTTGACAGCCCTATTTTTAAGTTGTTGTTCAACTCTTCAACTTTCTTCAAAAGTCTTGTCACTGTGCCCTTCAAACACAATTCTTTCTGTCTTTTAAAGAGCCTGAAATAGAACCTAATCTGTGGTTGATGGTGAATCCCAGTTTAGCCTGCCCCATAAAATACCCTAGCAATAGCCCAAAAGCCCCAACACCCCCAAAACAAGCGGTGTCAACGACGTCAAGAACCACCACGCCTCAGGAGAAAAGTGTCCGTCGAGTGATCCTGCCTGATGAGACGTGCCTGAATGAGTCAATACACGACACCTCCCTCTCCAGCGAGTATCAGGTATGAGTAAAACCGCATTACATGCTTTGTTTGCTATGTTAATATACTGTCATTTAAACCTGACTGTTTCCACCTTGTCCCAGTTGACCGATGAAGATGACGCTTCCTCTGTAGACGTGCCCGTTTGTCGTAAGGTGAAGGGTGTTCGGAAGGGGAGGACTCCTAAAGCGTCCCCTCGCAAACTGGGTCTGACTCAGAACAGAAGGGTTCAGAGAGCACTGCAGGACAGCCTGAACCTGAAGAGCGGTGGATGGCCTCGGCCTCCTGTGAACTACTGCATCCTCATCGCCATGGCTCTCAGCAGCAGCCGACACGGCAGTCTCAACGTACAGCAGATCTATAACTTCACCAGGTGCCAGTGCTAGTATAGGGTTAAGGATTTGAACCAACTCAAATTATAGCCTATATAACATCTATATAGGGGTTGGTTATGTCGGCCACCGACATTTTTCCATTTTTAATATGAGTATCGGCCCGATAAGAAAATGAGGCTGATATCTTAAAGTTGATGGGTAATGGATTATTTCCTTCAGCTGAGACCCTTCAGATGCGCGCTGTTTTTCATGATGGTTTTGAAGCGTTTTAACCCTCAGGTGCTCTTCGTTTCGGAGTCACACTTGTTATCTTCCCGGTCAAAAGTGACCGGACACCTAAAAATGAAACTTTCTCCATCCCAGTAAAACCAATGCAATTTATTTTTGTTCTATAATATTTCTTCTTTTTAATTTAGTATTTTGAGACAATTTAAATGAATTTATTAATATTTATGCAATATTTATGGTTTATTTTTGCCATAGAAAAATATATATTATTTTCTATATATATATATATATATATATTATTTTCTTCAAAAAAATATTAATGCAGTATTTTAGTTTAATATAGAGTCTAGGCCTTCAGAAAAAAAAAATATTTTTTGAAGAAAATTAGCACCATCTGGTTACAGTATAGAGAAAAAGCGTAGAATCAATCAACCACTTACAGCTCTCTATTGAGAGGCATGTGAATTCCCCAGCTGTTTATGAACACATTTTTGTTGTTGTTGGTGGATTTGTATATATAGTTGAAACAATCTCAAAAACTATTTCTTATAAAAAAAATGACAAACAAATATTCACAATTTTTTTTTCTTTTCTTTTTTTACAATTTCCCATTCATTTCCTATGGGGGTCATTTTTGACCAAAGACCACAAGTGTGACTATTTTTTTTAAGACCACTTAGCATGCTCAGATCATGACCTCAATTTTTTTGTGTGTTCACATACATAATGCCAGAAAAGTCACCAAGTTTCGTAAGATCGCGATGAGGCTGTGATTTTTAAAAATTCAAAACATACTTTTTGTAATCAAAATTTATAGGTGTGTATGTGTATAAAAGTGTGTTTTGCACTCTAGATGTTGTAGAGTGTCACCCCTTTCTTGCGGTGTACTTTTTTTTTAGAATTGTGGCCGATTTGTAGATTGTACATACACAAATTCAGAGAATTTTTTTTTATATCAATTTCCCATTCATTTCCTATGGGTTGTCATTTTTGACAGAAGAGCAAAAGTGTGACTCATTTTTTTACGACCACTTAAATTGCTCGAATCATGACCTCAATTTTTTTGTGTGTTCACATACCCAATGCCATAAAAGTCACCAAGTTTCGTAATTTTCTGAAGAAGCTGTGATTTTTAAATATTCAAAACAGATTTCTTTAATCACAATTTATTGGTGTTTTTGTGTATAAAAGTGTGTGCGTAGGGGTGGGTATGTCTGTTTTGCACTCTTGATGTTTTACAGTGTCACCCCTTCAATGCTGAGCACTTTTTTTCTGCATCGTGGCCGATTTGTAGATTGTACACACAAAAATTCTCAAAGTTTTTGTCAATTTCCCGTTCATTTCCTATGGTCGGTCATTTTTGACCGAAGAGCACAAGTGTGACTTTTTTTTTTTAAGACCACTTAGCCTGCTCGGATCATGACATAAATTTTTTTTTGTGTTCACATACCCAATGCCATAAAAGTCACGTTTCGTAACATTCCGATGAAGCTGTGATTTTTAAAATTTCAAAACAGAACATTTTTTGGTCAGAAATGACCGAAGAGCACCTGAGGGTTAAATATGATTGGAAAAGAAAATTACAGTTTAGTGCAACATGTGCAGTGCAAGTCTGTCTACAAAAAAATAAAAAAATAAAAATAATAATGAGAATATTGTAATTGTGTGCTTGGGTTATGGCTTTTAATGAGACTTTTGTTTTTGTAATCCGGCTCTCTGAAAATGATATAGATTTAAATTTATCGGCTTTTGATTATAAAGAATTATTTATCAGAAAAAAAAAAAAAAAAAAAACAGCAAAAACTGTTTTAGCAACAAATATGATTTCCGAGGGATCATAACAAAGGAGTAAATTGCCTTTTAAAATGTATTCAAATAGAAACAGTTGTAATATTTCAAGAATTCTTTCAAAAACATAAGAAATTGTAATGTTTCTAAACTTTTGACAGATACTAGTGTGAATATAATATATGGTAGTCAACATTTGAAGTGGATAAAGTTCATCAAAGTTGTCCTAAGACAATGTATAACTTTGAAGGGTTTTGACACACACACACAGATTTTTTTTCCCTTTTCATTCGTTTTCTTGACTTTTTCCAGTGATTCTCATCCCATTTTCTTTTACTGTCATTCTAGAGAGCACTTCCCCTTTTTCATCACCGCTCCGGACGGGTGGAAAAACACAATCCGACATAATCTGTGTTTCAGTAACAGTTTTAAAAAGACCCCACAGCAGGTGTCTGGAGATGGCAAGAGGAAGTCGTGTCTGTGGCACCTCACTCTGGACGGCCGGCAGAGACTGAGAGACGAGATCCACACACTCACAGGAGATTCCTTCAGAATGCTGAAGAGGAGCATGAACTATCCAGGTGAGGGTCGAGTGGGGCAATAAGCAGCAAATCTGTTGATCTCATTTCACTCTTAATGTTGTCTGTATTGCAGATATGATCAAAGCGTTGTTGGAGCTGTAATCCTGCTTTGACCCCTGAAAAATGAGATCATCAGGCTGGACGGCAAGACCTGCTATGATTTATTCTTTATGAACTTGTGTATGTCATCAGCTTTTCTTCCTTTAGTTTTGTTATTTATGTAATTGTTTCTTTGTGTGTGTGCCTGTTTAATTTTTTCCTCAAATTACTAATTTTGCCTTATTAAATAAACAAATGCATATATTATGTTTCTTTATTTCCTTAAAGCAACTGGAAAAAATGAATTACTTAAAGGGATAGTTCACTTTGAAATACATTTTTGTTACGTGTTATAGCTTGCCTCAAGGGCATCCAAGATGTAGGTGTCTTTGTTTCCGCAGTAGTTTCTATTTTGACAATTTTAGGTCAAACCGTTCGGGTCTATCAGTCATATATAATAATGGAGGTCTATGGTCACCATCTCAAAGAGCATGCACAGAGAAGTCCAAATTAAACATGAAACTCGTAATGTAAATACATTGTGGCAACGAGGTAAAAACGATATAAATATTGTTCGTTTTCTCAAACAAACCGCTGGCCATCAATGTGTATTTGCGTTCATGTTTAATTTGGACTTCTCTGTACTTTGAGGTGGTGACCATAGACCTCCATTATTATATATGACTGATAGACCCGAACGGTTTGACCTAAAATTGTCAAAATAGAAACTACTGTGGAAACAAAGACTACATCTTCTTGGATGCCCTTGAGGTAAGCTAAAACATACCAAACATTAATTTCAAAGTGAACTATCCCTTTAACATGAAAAGAACTACTAATAGGTTCAAAAGAACAGTTCTTTCTCAAACTTTTTAAACATTGATAAGAAATGTGTCTTGGGCACAAAATCAGCATATGATGATTTCTGAAGGATCATGTGCCAATTTACAATGACAGTAAAGACGTTAACCTTTTCAAAAAGAAATGTTTGTTAATTCTAGTTGCATTTCAGAATACTGTTATATATTTCTGATTAGAATGCTGCATTGAGCATATATATTTCTATGTTTGCTGCTTGGATTTATTATGTTTATTGGTGATAGGCCTAATGTCTGTTTGTTTCAATAAGTTTATTAATCCACCCCAAACACAAGAGTGTGATGCTGCATATGAGAACACAAAATGTCACTGTGTTTGGATAAACGTCATGCAAAAGTGCCATTGGGATTCGTTAGACACAGATTTTACAATGTATGACTTGAAGCAGGTCACGTTACAAGGGGTGAAACATACATCTCCAGAAAAAAGACGAAATGTGAATCTTTCAGATGTATCTCTGATTATTATTATTTTATCATTGGATGGAATGCTAATAGGCTACAGATTCAAGAAGTTAGGAACTGATGACATAAAAATAAGCTCAACTGTGATTACAAGAGGTAAAAATGATATAAATACTGTTCGTTTTCTCACACAAACCGCTCGTTTCGTGACTTAGGCCATCAATGTGTACTTACATTTACGAGGCATTAAATCATGTTTAATTTTGACTTCTCTGTGCATGCTCTTTGAAGTGGTGACCATAGACCTACATTATATGACTGACAGACATGAACAGTTTGACCTGAAAATATCAAAACTGACACTAATGCAGAAACAAAGACACCTTCATCTTGGATGCCCTTGAAGTAAGGTAAAACATACCAAAAAATTATTTCAAAGTGAACTATCCCTTTAAGAGATTTGGAAATCAATGTCATTACAGTTCAGAATATATTTCAGAATGCACCGAAACAGCTAAGGGTGTGAAATATTGTTCTGTAATATTTAAGAGATACAGATTTGATTAGAAGGATATAGTGTTTGATTTATTTATTTTTTAATTCTAAGTTTATTGTTCCTTCCGTTCGTCGAGGCTTCACGCTCCATCCCAGTAGGTGGCGGAAATGCACCTCAAGCTGGTTTGCCAACCACGAAAAAAAAATCACAAAAGAAGAAGAACGAAGAAGAAAACATCATGCTAGCTCTTACGTGCAGTGGCTGAAGAAACAAACTCAAAGAAGTGAAATGGGTGCATTTTATTGCTCGATCTGCGGAAAAACAGATTTTTCTGGCAAAGGACACATTCATGGGAAAAGCCACCAGAGTAAACTTAAAGTGATTCTTGTCAAATTCATGGATAAGGTAAGTGTGCTGCTAACTAAACAACTGTTAGCATACAGTGGCTCCAAGTACGATTTAGGCACTTAAGTCACTGTCAGATAATGTTTGAATTTTATTATATTAAATAACAAAACATCCTAAAAGAGTAACCCAATTTAATCATGCCAAAGCGATTTTAGTGGAAGTTCAGTTTATAGTTAACGTTAACATAAATATCAATGAATGGGTCAGCTGATTGCAGACCACCACAAAAATGTCTTTTAAAAAATAATAGTACTTTTTCTACTTATTTTGCAATGTATGCTAGCTTGTTTCCGCCAAGGAATAAAAAAGGTAATTGCATATTTTTAATATCTCAATTCTAAAAAAAGCTCATCGCAAAAAAGTCATAATTACCGGTAGTTATAAGTTAGTAAGTTAGTTAATTGCAAAAACTAAAGTTAGTCATTCTGACTTTATTTTTCAAGATTCCAGTCGCAATTTTAACATTTTTTTCTCAGAATTGTGAGACGCAAACTCTCTCTCTCTCTCTCTCTCTCTCTCTAAAAAAAAAAAAAAAAAAAAAAAGTTAGAAAGTGACAGCTATCTTTTTATTTATTGTTCATTTATATCTCACAGTTCTCTATTTTTGAGAGAAAAAAAATCTTGAGAGAATAAGTGATTATTACCTTTAAGTTTTAATTCAAACAAGCTTCCATAGACCTTATTCAGAGCAGCGCTATGATAGCGAGGCTGTGAGGATAGACATACCGTGTTTTCAATGGCATTCGCTGTGCAAAGTTGTGTAAAGCTCCCAGATCATTTTTAACTTTACACATCTCATTTTTGGAGGGTTTTTTTTACTGAAATATCACGAAAATATAGGTTTACAGCGTTTAAAAACACATTAAATAACAGTACAACCCACTGAAGAGATGTGCTGTACGTCTATCCCTCACAGCCTTGCTTTCATTCCCGTTGAAAATCAAAGATGGCGCTGCTGTGAATAAAGTCTTGACAACAATGACAAGTAGACTATGCATTGAGTGTCGAAGTACTGTTTGGAGCCACTATCTGAAATAAATGAGATTATCTCTCACATATGTAATACACTATCATAGGTCAAAGAAGCACGGAGGACCATCAAAAATCCTCAGGTGGAGAAATACAGTCCCCATCATGACGTTAAGTTCTGGTGTTACTGCTGCGCGCTGGAGGTCCAGAAACACGTGACCGACAGTAACATCACAGTTCTGTATGGAGGACTGCTGGAGCACATGAGCACGTAAGATATCGAACACGAAAACATTTGAGATGCGCATGGAGAGCTTGTGGTGAATTCACGGAGTGCTTTTCATTTCAGCCCAGAGCACAGGAAAAACACACACAAGTTCTGGTGGGACAATAAAGCAGATCTCAAACTACTGGACAAGTTCATTATAACAGAAGAGGAAACTGAGAGGTAGCTTTTTATTTGTATTTTAGGAAATGGCTTGATAGCATTTAGAACATAAGTATATTGATACTGTTAAAGTTGTTCAGATGTTCTACAGAGAAATAAATGAAGAATCCCTTTATTGTAGATTCAAGTCTGAGGTTTCCAAGGCTCTTGAACAGTTTGAGGAAAAAGAGGATGTGTTTATTAAGCAGGTAAAGACATTTTACAGGTTCTTTGTGTTGCTAATGGTTAGTTGAACCATATCGATGTCTTTTCTTCTCTTCTTTCGTCCTCAGCAAGCTGCAGTGATCCGGTCTCAGGAGCAGCACAGACTGGAGGTCCTTCAGTCATTATCAGAGGTTTGTTTTCCTCGGATGCTCCAAGCGTATCCATATCTCAGTACTCCTCCTGTTCAGTTTGTGTGATGAAAATATCGACTGACAAATGTTTTTGTGACTTTTTCAAACCCCAGTGTTAATGATCATTTTTTAAAACAGCATGCATTTGTAAAGTAATATCTTTGTTGGGGGAAATGACGTTAAAGAGACATGGACCATTACTATTGACTTTTCCTGAATCAAACTTAGCCGGATCCAGAAGTGCTACAACACGTTGAACTGGACCATTACAGCAATAAACCAACAGCCAGGTAAAATATTATGACCTGTGTTATTCTGAAACGTGAGGGATGCACCAATTGTGCTCCAATATCCATTCCAATTAGACATGTGCCGGTATTCGGTAATGCGATTTAATCGCGGTAATGAATATGCACGATATTGTTATCGCGGGCTCTTCAAAATACCGTGAAAAATAATAGATTCGAATTTAGACTTTTAAAGCGCGCATTAGCTGCTTATTTTCCTTCAAACACTGCGTGCTGCGCAGAACACGCGCGCACTCTGATGTAAACAATCCCCATTATGTATAAGCACTGTGTGCATGCAGCAGTGTGCACTAGTCTAATGTAAACAGTCCTCACATGGAGTAGAAGCATGGCGGAATACTCCCGACGATTTATCCCCGCAGGGCTGCCAAACTCTCAGACATTCCGCTTTAGACTCAAGCTTGAGACTTTCAGACAGGACGCGGAATACGCGCGCGACGCGCAGGGATGTTTTGTTGCTGCGTCGACCTGCATCGACCACGTCGGTGTTAAAGTTCAAAATAGTTAAACTTTTTATTTGTAAAATGGCAAATCGCGTTGTATCTGAAGGGCAACGTTGAACCAAGCGGCCGCAGCGTCGCTCATTCCGCGCCCTGTCTGAAAGGCGCAATTGACACTTTTCACACGCTCTCCCACAGAGAAAAATCACAGAGCAAAGAGGACACTGACACCGACAGACTAGACAGAGCAGGTTACTTTTGATATGAAAGTTGTTATTGATAAATTGAAGTTGATAAATCAGCTCTTCTGATCACAGATCGTTGCTCCTCAGTTCAAGTAAACCGATCATCATGTTACTTTCGTTTTTATTTAAAGATACAGTATAACTTACCGAAAGGTATATTTACTTGTACATAATAACGATCAATCAGTGTTTTCAAACATGGAAAGAGGTCAGTAACACTGCAGGAGAACAGTTGTGTCACAAAACGTTACATTTACCTCAGGAAAGCCATTTAATGACCAGCACATTAGTTGACTAGAAAAAAATATCAAGGAGTATTTTGCTAAATATTATATTTAATTTCTCTCTGTATGTTTACAGCATTATGTGAGTTTTTTTTCTTTCTTGAGAAACATTAACAGACTGGGGCCTACCTAATATTTATCCAAATGAGTCAATATTGAATTAAGACTGAAATCAAATCCAAGAATTTAATTGAATAATACAAACAGTAACCTACCAGTCATTGTAACATGTTGTCACTAAACTTTAAACAATTTGGTTTAGTTACCATATGTTTCGAAAATCACAATTACACATTGTGATACAAGTTGAGGTTTTTTTAGAGACCCACAATGCATCTGTTTTTCTTGAGCATTAAAATATAATTTCATTAAAATATCGTGATAATACCGTATACCGTGATAAAAGCTCAATCAATTAACCGCAGCATGAAAATTTGATACCGGCACATGCCTAATTCCAATAGACTTCAGTTCAAAAGTATAAGTATATTATATAAATTATAAGTTCAAAAGTATTATTATAATACTTTTCTTCAGCATGGATGCATTAAATAAAGTCATTTATAATGTTACAAAAGATGTCTGTTGCGAATAATTACTTCCTATTAATCAAACCTTAAAAAAGTTTCGATCATAAGTATTAATAAAATGAAAACAATTGTACTGCTTAATAATTTTATAATTAACAAGAAATGAAGAGATTTATTGTGGATAAACAGATAACTCAAGGGAAGGGGAGTATAATGGATTACATTGGTTGTACGTAAGATTGTATTGAACTTTATTGCCGTTGTACTGAGGAGAGTATAAAGAAAATGGTTTAAAATGTACTTCTGATGCCTCTGTCTTTTCTGTATTTGAAGTGTATTGGTGCATCCATAATCTTTATACATATAGTAGTAGTCAAAAATTTGGACATGTGAAATTGGTTTTGTTGACAAAATATGCTAACCAATATGAATTTAGTTTTTCTTCTATAGGTTTTTTGTGTATATATATTTTTTTAACACTAATCAAAACTATTAAATGAATTTAAATATGGGAATTATCTACTGTACTATTATAATAAAATGTGGAAAATTATAATAAATAATGAGTGTCCAAACTTTTGACTAACACCAGTCAACAGTTTGTGTAATATGCATTTTCCAGCATTGACAATTAGGAAATGCTGGTTTAGTGTCATTTGATGATCAGAATGGGAGTTTGTAATGCCTAAAGCATGAGTTTTGATGTCTGATAAGAAGTTCCCACAGTCGATCTTATGAAATGGAGGCACAGCCCGGACCGAGCCACGAGGATCTCGCCTCACACAGTCATCGGAGTGAGCCAGGATTTGGCTTAACTTTCATTGGTTACCAGGTATTTTGTATTGCACTATATACTTGCGACAATTATTGATTAGATTAATAAACAAGGTCAGACATCACCTTTGGTTTGCTGTCTGTATTTGCAGAACTCGTCCAGCAGTGGAAATGTTCATACTGGTGAGTCTGTCACTCGCATGACATCGCAGCAATAGCAAACCATGACGACCATCCAATCAATTCTCCCTATGGACAAAAGTCCCGCCTTCCATTTTTTTCTAGTTTGAGAAGCTGTTTCACTCTCTCAATGGGAATAGGGAAGAAAAGACTATTGTAATATCTGTTTCATGCCGACTTTAAATGATTGGATACAAATCAATCATTTTATGCTTTATTATAGTAATGTACCAATAGACAGGGTTCCCTGAATAGTGTTCAGAATAATTTGAGAAAAAATTATGTACTGTACCCGATATACATATCAAAATGAATCAATATCAAATCCAATCAAGATCAAAATGTAATCAAATCACAATTGTGTCAATACCCAGGTGTAATACTGACCATGCTGTGTTGACTTGTAGGCGCTGTTCCGCCGTGGCTATTGGAGGAGCCAGATGAAGGACCGCGAGAAATTGGACCCTCAATTCAGGAGTTTCTCAAACACAGTATGTACTTCACTTTCATGGTGATGCTTGTTGTTTTTGGCTGCGTTTATATTAAAGAGAAGATCTCTTTGCAAAACACTTATTTCTTTCTATCACCCATGTAATATTTAAAGAGATACTTTACCCAAAACGAAAATTAGCCCATTATTTACTCACCCTCAAGTCATTCTTGGTCTATATGACCATATAAAGCTTGGAAGAGCCAGGACATTTTTAAAGAGCCCCTATCATAGCATTTGAAATGTTCCTATTTTTGTTTTAGGAGTTCCCAAAAACAGTTCAACATGCATGCAAGGATGAAAAAAACACTTTATTTGTCATATAATATGCATTTATTTTGAACTGATTTGCTCACCGACTCCCAAATGATTCGTACAACGACTCATTTTTCCAAACCACTCCTTTGCGTGATGCTAATAGGCGGTGATTGGTCAGATGACAGACCCAGGCAGTTATTGTTTGTTAGCATAACACATAAACGTATTGATAAAGCACTGCAGTACTACAAGACGCTCCATTCTTTATGACAACTCCAATAACAGCGACAAACATTTCACATATTTAAAAAGAAATGACATTGGAGACCTAGAAGCTGCGCTGAGCGTAACTTACACACACACATGCTTATTGCACCTTCCCTCCTCGCACCCGACGCTACAAAACCGTTCAAAACCCATAAAAGCAACAATTACTAATAATACTTACAGGTTGTGATTCGAAGGAGGAAGCTGATCCATATACGCTGGGTAAGTAAGTTACTGAGCCCTCCTTCAGGAACAACCGCTTGCGAATCCACATTTGAATTCATTTATGTTTTTGAACTAACATTATTCGTCAATAAAATGATGAGAACACAATCGGGCTATACTGTTGTGGTATCGTTGCAAATATGAACTCTAACCACCGATTCTTCACATGCTCGTCCCTGGTAAATGAAAACAAAGTGGCTGAACTATCTTTGCATTGTAGAACACAGCGTCTTCTCGACTTGATGCTATGATGAATTATTTGAATGTGTAGACTTCAAGTTTACACTTCCGTCTGCAGTGTGTATCTACGTCACTACGAACCAGCTAATGACTCGTTTCAAAAACAATTCATTTCATAGACTCAGAGTCGACTCTCACTTTTTTGAAAGACAATAACTTTATACACGGTGCACTTTCAGATATAAATCTTTGCAGGATGTTTTCATTCCCTTAGAGCTATATTCCACACCATATGAACAGTCATTTTCAAAAATCCATGATAGGGGCTCTTTAATATAACTAGGATTGTATTCGTCTGAAAGAACAATGTCATATACGCCTAGGATGACTTGAGGATGAGTAAATCATGGGCTAATTTTTAGTTTTGTGTGAATTATCCCTTTAAAGGAGCAACTCACTCAAAAATGGACTCACCCTCATGTGTTCCAAACCTATATGCATTTTACACCCTAATTAATTGCATCAAATTTGGCTGAGAAATTACCACCAAAAGATAGTCATTATTGTGTTAAATGAGAAAAGCATTACAAAAAGCAGCTTAAGAAATGCATTGTTTGATTCAAAATTGAATAAATAAACTTTAAGGCTACTAGGGCCATGATCTGAATTAGTATTTAGATATATTTAGACCAAACCAGTTTGGTCTCATACAGGGGCATTTTAACTGCATTCTGTAAGTTCTATCACAGTGAGTTGTTGGCCTGCTTCATGTCCATCACCAATCAACTGTACGAAATGTAATTTTTATTGCGTTATTTTTCATAACTAATGCGGTTCATCGACAGCCCTTTTAAATGGGGGAAAAAATAATCAGATCTTTAAAATTCTTCCACAGTCATGGTTATTCTTATTTTTTTGCACTTTTTTCATTATTATTTTTGTTTATCTTACCCATTATATATATTTAGCACAGTCTAAGAAGTTTACCAGGTTTATGTTCTGTATATACTGTCACTGCGTATGTTATGAACGAGGAATCTTAAATGTTGATTCGCAGAGGAGCAAGAGAAGCTCAAGAAGCTTCCGCCCAACCGTGTGGGTGCAAACTTTGACCACAGCTCGCACACTGACGCCAACTGGCTGCCATCTTTTGGACGCGTGTGGAATAGTGGCAGGCGCTGGCAGTCTAGGTGAGCCCTAACTTCAGCACAAATATCAAGCTCGTTTCATTCTTCTCGTCGTTCTTACTGACACTTTCCCCCCTCAGGAATCAGTTCAGGGAAGAAGAGGCAAAAACTAGGGGGAAGAGGAAGTGGAAAGATGATGGGAAAGCAACAAAGAAGCTCAGTAATGGAGAGTTATGATATGGATGCACCAATTACACTGGCAGAAGGAGGACAGTATGTGAAATATATATATATTGCTTTTCTCATATTGAGAATATGAGAAACATGCTTCATGTGGACACCAATTATGGTTTGTTTCAGCTTGTGAATATCGTTATGAAGAATTTGTTTGAGAAATGAACAGCACCATTTGTGTTTCCAGTTTATTGAATACATTTTTGCTACAGATGTTGTGTAATTTCCTTTTTTTGGTCATAAATCCAAAACAAAATATCCGTCCCACGCTCCTCAAAAGGTAAATGTGATAAAATGAAGACACAATGTGCAATATCTTCTTTCCATTTGGAACAATACATCAGTTCAGTCAAATTTAATAGAATCTCATCTATTAGAGCTATTTCATGTTCTCAACAGAAAGCCAAGACCATATTAATGTTCAATAATATAATAAAATACCTCAAACGTCTAGACAGAATGATAAAAATACAGATTACATTAATATTAAAGGATACCTTGCAGTCTTTTATTTTTCTTCTTTTTTTTTTTAGTAGTTTCTGTTAAAATAATACATGACTGAACGCTTTAGAATGCAAAAGAAGAGGGAAAAAAAAAACGAGTCTCTGTAAGAGATGCAGTGTTGGTCATAATTGTACAATACATTACATTTAAAAAGGACCATTAAGGGTCTTCATCAAGTTCCTGCGTTGAAGCTTCTTTCTATGTAACTTCATTCTCAAAACCAAGAAAATCCGGAAATATGTCGCGTCAGCCCGACCCGACGACATTACGAAAGGTCCGGTTTTCCCATGGCCGCGAGCCAGAGAAAACGCTTTCAGTAGCTTCATTAAATTGCATGTGGTTTATTAAGAGAGGAGGAATGAGAGACACCACCACGATCGTCAGGCTCATTTCCATACGAGCATCATTTGCCTTCATCGTCAGTCAGCAAACATTGCCCGTTCCCCTTTGAGACGTCTCATTTTAGGCTCACGTGGCGGCTACTGTTACATGACTTCAATCGCCACTCACTGCTGATAGTTTCTAGGTCACATATAACACAAGCCAGATTGAAACAGACGTCCGCCATTCGGTTTATGTGAATATCTGTCTGAACTAATCACACTGTCATCGTTATTAAGCACATATGCTAGTGAGGCCAAAGATCTGAGGAGCTACCCAAGTATAAGATCATGTGACCATTCAAGTTGCACTTTGATTGGATGAGTCAATATTAGCCAATGAAACTTTGGGGGCGTTTTGTCGATCCAAGCTTACATTTACCCTCAAATCTTGTGGTTTCCAATGTTGTTCGGCGGTTTTTGACAATGATGGAGGGTTGCTGAAGGAAGGAATTGTCTTCTGTCCTCAATAAAGATGGTCGAGTGAGAGGTGATGAAACTTCCTTGCATGGCAATCGTTCTCAAAGTACCATGGCGTGCGCGGAGATTTGGAGCGAGGGATTGGGGTCGTCCTGTTGCGATTCTGTCTCGTGCATGAACATTGTTTCAAGAGGAGCAGGGCTGGAGAAGCCCAGTGTCTCTGTGTCTCCTCCTGTCTCAATAAACAGAAAGAGCTCCACTTCACTAACTTTTATCTGAAAGAAGGATAAAACAGAAACAAGAGAACTATGAAATGAAAGCTCTTTTAGGGCATTTCTAGGGCAGGACAAAAGCTGCACTACCTTTGTTTTCCTCTGTGTCAGTAGCTGTTTCCTCTGATAGCCTTTGGCGTAGCTGGTTATACTTGATTTCTGTATCCTGAGAAAAAAAAAAAAAAAAAAAAACAGAATTGAGTTTTTCTTCACATTTGTGACCTGACCCAAACGGGCATTTACCTGTTTTATTATTATGGTTTAGTTTTTACTTACTAAAAATCGTTTGCCAATATTGGACACTTCAGTCAGACTTGTGTAATGTATGAATCTCCTGGCATTAAATCAGGGGTTCATTTAAAGGAACCCAATATAATGAACCCCTTTGCAAGGGCCGACCAAATTATATATGGCAAGAAAAGTGGTATGCGAAAAGTTTATATCAAAAATGAAACTTGGCTTTTTTGTGTGTGGTCATTTACCTGCCAAAAATATTATATGAACATTTACAGAAACTACAGCATTTATTTCTCTGCAGAAAATTAAGTTTCCTTTGCCAATTTATTATTAAAACATTTTTAATTTAAATTTATTTATTTAGCACTGTTCAGTAAATATATATATATTTTTAATTTTCAAAAAGGCCATAGAACTAGTAAGTGTGCTTAACTTGCAGCACTGAAAGGAGATTTAAAAATAGAACTGGAATTTTAAATTATTAAGAAAGCAAAACACAATCATTTCTTTAATTATTACTGCTAAAATGCGTTTCGTAAACCAGTCTCTCAAATTCTCCAGGGACCCCAAAGAATCTCCCTTGAAAACTGAATTAGATAACAAAATATCCATAAGTGCCACAGTGCAAGTTTGGAAAATAAAGTTAGGTTTTTAAATAATAGTAAAACAATACAAAGGAAAGTAAAAGACAGTATTGTAATGAAGCTTGTTTCTACCACAGAATTTATTAATATTGAAAGAAGAAAAATGAGAAAACGGCTCATTTATTCATTTTTATTTTTTCCCAAAAAAATAAAAAAAATGAGAATTCGGTTTGATTTTTATATTTTTATTTTCAGGGATAAAAAATGAGAAAATGGAAAAATATTCCATTTCCACGTGTGGGCGCGCATGAAACGCCCCTTTCAACAAAATATTATGTAGATTATCTTGTATCTGCACCCACATGACCCATCATTAGCCTACTTCACAGCTGGGTGACCCACTGACAGACCGGTATCCATTTAAGTGTAAATATGCAGCAGTTATAACTATTATTTTAGATTGCACATTGAGTTTTGGACAAGGGATGAAGAAGAAATATGATAGATATGAAAATATATAAATTGTATTATTTAGTGTCAATGTCACAGCGCATCTATTTTGGTTGTTATTCTATTCATTTATTTGTTGTTGTTTGTTTGTTATTCATAGCTTATAGCTTTCATAGCTTATAATCATGTTTACCTTTGCAAGGGCATTTATTCTAATATTTTTTAAATAGAGGCTAATTGTCATCTTTTATCAAAATTAATTTCAATCAAATTAAGAGGGCTGTTAAACTGTGGAAGGACTGAAAGTGTTGATCTTCGGTTGACCAATCAGCGGAAAGGGGCGTTTCATGCGAAATTGAATATTCAAACCATTTATCTATTTTCTATCCCTGAACAAAAATAAATAAATAAAAACAAGCCGAATTCTCTTTTTTTTCATAAAAAAATAAAATAATAATCAATGAGCCGTTTTCTCATTTTTCTACTTTCAATATTAAATCGAAAAACGAATGAACGCAACACACAGACCCACAATACTGTACATACTTTTTCTCAAAACTGTGAATTTATATGTCTCAATTCAGACTTTCTCTCTCAATTTCAAGTTCATAACTCGCAATTCAGATTCCCAATTCAAAAACGAATTGTGACAAGTCTAAGAAGTCGCAATTACCTTTTTTAATACCATGGTGGAAACAAGCTTCACTTCCTGGTTGTCAAACATGTTTATGGTTAAAGTGACCTGTAGTTACTCTGTGTGAACTTGAGTAGAACTGACTTCATACATCCACTTAAACCACACACACACAACATTTGATTAAAGCTACACTATGTAACTTTTTGCTATGTAAAATGCACTTTAAATGCCATAAATGTTACAAAGTGTACCTTAACACCATGTCCTAACTACACGCAACGCTTCTAATTTAGAAACGGTTCCTATTTCTGCGACGTCGCGGCTGACAGAATGAAGAAATTACACTGGTTATGAGTACACATTCTTTGTTTTTAGTTCAAAATAGGTCACTGTGCCACAAGCGATAACGGATAATTTACCTCCGATTTTGAAAGCATGTAATATAGCGTTCAAAATTAATGGAAATGCAAACAGACAACTGTACTTCATAACAAAATTAGTCAATGAGTATATTTTGTTAATGTTTTGATTTTTAATAATGTTATTTCTTGATTTGATTATGTCGTGTGGACCAATAGTGCGCATTCACAGAGAGACTCTGCTCACACCATAGGCTCACACGCTATTCTGAATGTGTGGCGTCGCTTCTAGTGTGGACAGACACACTTGCTGTAGCTGGAATTTTATCGCGTCGCGTGTATTTAGGACACGGTGTTACAATGCAGTATAATATTCCAAGAAAAGTAAACTTACTTTTGAGAAAATATCTAGCATGTTATATAATAATTGATACATTTTAAGTGAGACACAAGGTCATTGTATATTTGTCTATCATTGACCGGTTTTCTTGGTGGGCAACTCGTCACCTTCAGGTGCTGCAGGTTGGCCTGTAGTAGACGTATGTGGGTCATGATCTGTCTGTTGACGTTAGGTCCTCCGCTGCTCTGAGAGGAGGATGAGAGGAGCTTCTTCAAGTCGATGCCTGAGTCTCCCCCAGCCACTGGCTCCCCGCTGTTGGCCTGCACGTCATCATCTGTGCTGCTCTCACCTGAGCCTCCATACACCTCCAGCACCATGTAACTGCCTGCAGAGACTGGCAGAGAATGAGACCAATGGTTACAGGTTATAGCAACAGAAAAATTAAATGTAGTGAAAAAAGTTGGCTGCTTCCAAACACTTACAGAGTTAGTGCAAACAGTACAGTATTTTCCAAAGAATAAATCAAGTGTGCAAAACATATGCAAAGTGCACACATTTGAATTTGTGCCATTATGTGTGTAGCTGCACATTTCCCACAAGCTGGTAGTTTCACTTTAAATAAATTTGTTTAGGCTTGGCGTTTATAATAAATAAACTAAAATGCAGTTTAGTATTCACTTTTTTACAATTACCAGCATTTTGCATTTTTAAATGTAATAATAAAATGTGACAGAGTAGATTCAACTTATCGGTCACATGACAATGACAATTTAGTCCACCTGGGTAACATTCATACTAAACACATTCAAACTATATTAACACAAACTCAATTTTAAATGGTTGCAAAGTAATTACTTATTTGAAAGAAGTACTATTTTGAGCACTTGTTTCACTGATCAATTTAACACTAGTCTTGGTCTTTATACTGACACCTATTGGTGTGGATGAAACATCACATAAACTCACTCCACTATTTATGACCAGTTCATAATTGCCAATTCTATAACTAAGCATGTTTGGTTTTAATTTGTGCAGAAAATCATTTTTCTATAATGACCGTTGAACCCACACAATCAATGTCCTACATATCTCTGGTAGTTTCAAGTCTCTTGATTTACTCTGTAGTCATGTGATAAGCAGGATAATGTGCGGTCAGCTGCGCATTATCATAAAATAAAGGCCCTTCCTGATGACTTTGAAGAAAAAAAAACAGGACAAATACACACCACAATCCTCAGACGTCTCAAAGAAGCCCGTGTCTCCGGAGGGCAGTTCCTGTGCGTTCTCCCCTCTGTTCTCGCCCCTCTCTGAGCCATTCTCAACAGTGGACCCGATCACAGCGCTGTTCTCCGGCCCCTGCTGAGAACCCGTCCTCGCCACGTGCTCCCGTTGCTCTCCTCTCTCGGGGTCTCTGTCTGTGTCCTCCTGACTGGACATGTGGTTGATCAGGAGCTGCCTCAGTGTCGCCACTAAAGAACACAGAAATGAGATGAGAAATCGACAGATATATTGGGCTGCAACTAACAATTATTTTGAAAATCGATTATAGTTTGTTTCTTATGATTAATCTATTGATTACTTTCTAATTAGTCAATTAATTCATTAGTTAACTCTCTCTCCCTGCGACTGATGGAATTTTCCGTCTTTCTGTGTTTTCACTGTTATACGGTAGGGGGCGCTATTACACATCTTCTGAAAGAGTACTGACTCGAAGAAGAAGCAGAAACCAGATATAGCATTTGTAAGCAGATTCATATGTAAAATTAATGCAATCATTAACATTTAACAGAATCAATCCTGAATGAAATGTCCACCCAGGACGAGCTGTAGGACTGTGAGTGTTGATGGACTCGATACACTTTGATCAATGTTCTGAATCTGATCCAGACGTAGACAAAAATGCGATTTTCTCAGCTTTTTTTTAAAATGAAACTTACCCATATTCAAGTGTTGATTAAAAAAAAGAATACATGTAGGTGGAATAATATTTTTTTGTTGTTTTTTTTAAAGCAGAGGGTCTGTTCTTTCTTTTGAAAGATTGCATGTTCAGAGATTTATAAATCATGATTTATATGCAATTTTTTCAGTGTTTTGTTTAATGTTGTTGTTTTTTAACTAAATTTACCCACATTCAAGTGTTGATAAAAAAAAGAACGCATGAAGCTAGAATAAAGTTTTTTTTTAAGCAGAGAAAAAGCGTTAAACAACCAACAACGACGATAACGTGAATCCTTCGGATGAACCCAAATAATTTCTGCAAGTAAACTAAACCCATCATATTTTATGTCCTGATGTAACTGATGTTTCTAAGAGTGACACAAGGTAACATCTTGCTTTTGGAAACATTGAACCCAAAGCCTGTATATGTTTTATAAATGATGCCCCATCCGCATCATTTTTAATTGTTTTGTATTGTTTTATATACATATATTTGATTGATTGATTGATTGATATTTATCTAATTTAGTGTGGCTCTCACATTAGAAGACATGGCAGACAACTAGTTCAGTCCAGTGAGGTTCCTTTCATTCAGCATGGGTGTGTCGAATCAATCTGTTTTCCTAATCATGACACCGCTACAGATTTTGGGTCACAGTTAATCCCAGAAGTTGATTTGTTGGATTTAAGTTGTCCCTATCCGAATGAAGTTTTCAGTTACGTTTGAGAGGGATAGCTCGTAGCAGTCGAGTCTTCTACTCACGTGTCCTGAGAGCTTCATCAGCTCTGAGTGGCTGGAGCTCAAAGGCCTCGGCCTCGTCCTCATCTATGGCGATGCCCAGTCTCGAGCGCTGCTTCAGTAATGTCAGTCGATCGGTCATATCAGCCACCACGAACGCTTCATCATCTTCAGCCTGATCCGGTACCAAGTTTTCTTCCTCTTCATCCTCCTCATCAGATTTGGTCTCAAACGGGTTGGTACTAGATGGCGGGGTTGAAATGACCTCAGTGGACATGACCTCAGTAGACATGACCTCAGTGTCATCTTTTTCTAAGGAAAATATACAACAAAATTGAAGAAAACAATTCTGAAACATATTTACGAGGCTCCTAGCCAAATAAACTAGATATTCATGAGTAGGGGGGTTTCACACTGGCAGTTTAGTTCGAAAAGTAGCATGGTTCGCATTAGAGCCAGACCGATATATCGGCAGGCCGATATTATCGGCCAATATTAGGCATTTCCTAAAATATCGGTATCGGCAGTTATAATGGCCGATAAATGAATATTTCAAAAATAAAAATGGACGAATCACGCTTCAACCATGTCATGAGTGTTGGAGTTGTATAGTTTGTCCACCAGAGGGCACTCTACACCATCCCTGTTGGCAACACTCGCGTATAACACGCCACACATCCTGAACATTTAGACATAGAGAAAAAGTATCAAACGTATCTTGTGCATAAAAGAATGCATGAAGCTAGAATAGTGTGCGTTAGCTTTTCTTTTACGTGTCTGAAACCCAACGACGCCAAGTGTGCATTGGAGACTGTCGTTCTGTAATGGATTTAGAATCGCTAACGCCGCCTTCACACTGGCAGTTGAAATCATCTCCGATGTGGCTGCGAAACGACCGGAAGTCATTCATTTCCTATGGAGATTCGCAGACCGCATGCGAATGGGTCCGAAACGGGTCCGACCGAGTGCGGTGCGAAGAAAATCGTGTCCGTTGGTCATCCGGATGCGTTCAAAAATTTGAACTTGTGCGAAAAGCTACGGAGGGTTCCTATCCGACAATTCCAGCGGAAGTTGACCGTTGCTATGATACTGATAAACAAACCTGAATTAGTAACTTTTAATAAAATAAATAATGATTTTATAACGATAAGTTGTCATGTCATTTTTTTATTTTCACGACTTTCTAACGTTTATAAGGGCAGTTAATACAATTAAATTGAAGGTAGACATTGAACTATTGACCACTATATCACATTTTTTAGCCGACCTGACATGTCAACGTCCTCAGCAACTTTCCTCACGCAGCATAACCCTCATCAGAGAGATCATACAGAACTGACAGAATCAACCTTTAATCTCTCAGCCATTTTTGTTCTACCCGCGTCCAACGCTTTTCACTGTGTAGTACAAAATCCGTTGGGAACGTATTGCATATTACGGAGCTGATTTAAACTGTCAGTGTGAAGGCGGCGTAAATAGTAGGTTTTAGAAGGCAGGCAGCAACTGATGATTGAAAATGGTTTGATGTAGCTTGATGGAAAGAATTTAAAAAGTGCAGGTAAAGGGATAAGCAAGCTAACATTGTAATTATAAGGTAGCATATAAGGCAATGTAGGGACTAATTATTATTTTATTTATCAGATCTTTAATATATTTTGATGTTCCTCTGTTCTGTTGTGACAATAGAAACAAGTTTCTTTTTAAAATGCATTATCATATTATTTTAGTTAAAACTCATAAATAACTACAAATGACTAATGTTAGGGAAATCTGGTAATATTTTGTTGCGCGTTTCTGAAATAAAAAAATAATAATAATAATATCAGCCGATATTTCGGAATATCAGATTTTAAAACCAACAAATATTTGTATCGGTATCGGACTTTCAAAATCCTTGATCGGTCGGGCTCTAGTTCGCATGAAAAATTGGTAACCTGAAAGCTATAATGTGGACCTGGGGGACATGGCCCTCTATCAGAATCCAGAGTTTTGGGAAGATTGGAGAAACTGAATTTTTCGCCCAAAAAAAAAACGTAAGGGGTACCACTGTCGTTTTTTTTTCGGGCCGAATTTTTGAGTTTCGATATCTCAGCTCTGGAAGGAGCTAGAGCCTCCATTTTTGCACTCAGGTCTAAGTCTCATGGCCCTCTATCAGAATCCAGAGTTTTGGGAAGATTGAAAAAACTTAATTTTTCGCCCCCAAAAAAAACGTAAGGGGTACCACTGTCGTTTTTTTTTCGGGCCGAATTTTTGAGTTTCGATATCTCAGCTCTGGAAGGGGCTAGAGCCTCCATTTTTGCACTCAGGTCTAAGTCTCATGGTCCTCTATCAGAATCCAGAGTTTTGGAAGATTGGAGAAACTTAATTTTTCGCCCAAAAAAAAAAAAACGTAAGGGGTACCACTGTCGTTTTTTTTTTCGGGCCGAATTTTTGAGTTTCGATATCTCAGCTCTGGAAGGGGCTAGAGCCTCCATTTTTGCACTCAGGTCTAAGTCTCATGGCCCTCTATCAGAATCCAGAGTTTTGGGAAGATTGGAGAAACTTAATTTTTCGCCCAAAAAAAAAAACGTAAGGGGTACCACTGTCGTTTTTTTTTCGGGCCGAATTTTTGAGTTTCGATATCTCAGCTCTGGAAGGGGCTAGAGCCTCCATTTTTGCACTCAGGTCTAAGTCTCATGGCCCTCTATCAGAATCCAGAGTTTTGGGAAGATTGGAGAAACTTAATTTTTCGCCCAAAAAAAAAAACGTAAGGGGTACCACTGTCGTTTTTTTTTCGGGCCGAATTTTTGAGTTTCGATATCTCAGCTCTGGAAGGGGCTAGAGCCTCCATTTTTGCACTCAGGTCTAAGTCTCATGGCCCTCTATCAGAATCCAGAGTTTTGGGAAGATTGGAGAAACTTAATTTTTCGCCCCCAAAAAAAAACGTAAGGGGTACCACTGTCGTTTTTTTTTTCGGGCCGAATTTTTGAGTTTCGATATCTCAGCTCTGGAAGGGGCTAGAGCCTCCATTTTTGCACTCAGGTCTAAGTCTCATGGCCCTCTATCAGAATCCAGAGTTTTGGGAAGATTGGAGAAACTTAATTTTTCGCCCCAAAAAAAAAAACGTAAGGGGTACCACTGTCGTTTTTTTTTCGGGCCGAATTTTTGAGTTTCGATATCTCAGCTCTGGAAGGGGCTAGAGCCTCCATTTTTGCACTCAGGTCTAAGTCTCATGGCCCTCTATCAGAATCCAGAGTTTTGGGAAGATTGGAGAAACTTAATTTTTCGCCCAAAAAAAAAAAAAACGTAAGGGGTACCACTGTCGTTTTTTTTTTCGGGCCGAATTTTTGAGTTTCGATATCTCAGCTCTGGAAGGGGCTAGAGCCTCCATTTTTGCACTCAGGTCTAAGTCTCATGGCCCTCTATCAGAATCCAGAGTTTTGGGAAGATTGGAGAAACTTAATTTTTCGCCCCCCAAAAAAAACGTAAGGGGTACCACTGTCGTTTTTTTTTCGGGCCGAATTTTTGAGTTTCGATATCTCAGCTCTGGAAGGGGCTAGAGCCTCCATTTTTGCACTCAGGTCTAAGTCTCATGGCCCTCTATCAGAATCCAGATTTTTGGGAAGATTGGAGAAACTTAATTTTTCGCCCCCAAAAAAAAACGTAAGGGGTACCACTGTCGTTTTTTTTTCGGGCCGAATTTTTGAGTTTCGATATCTCAGCTCTGGAAGGGGCTAGAGCCTCCATTTTTGCACTCAGGTCTAAGTCTCATGGCCCTCTATCAGAATCCAGAGTTTTGGGAAGATTGGAGAAACTTAATTTTTCGCCCCAAAAAAAAAAAAGGGGTACCACTGTCGTTTTTTTTTGGGCCGAATTTTTGAGTTTCGATATCTCAGCTCTGGAAGGGGCTAGAGCCTCCATTTTTGCACTCAGGTCTAAGTCTCATGGCCCTCTATCAGAATCCAGAGTTTTGGGAAGATTGGAGAAACTTAATTTTTCGCCCAAAAAAAAAAAACGTAAGGGGTACCACTGTCGTTTTTTTTTCGGGCCGAATTTTTGAGTTTCGATATCTCAGCTCTGGAAGGGGCTAGAGCCTCCATTTTTGCACTCAGGTCTAAGTCTCATGGCCCTCTATCAGAATCCAGAGTTTTGGGAAGATTGGAGAAACTTAATTTTTCGCCCAAAAAAAAAAACGTAAGGGGTACCACTGTCGTTTTTTTTTTCGGGCCGAATTTTTGAGTTTCGATATCTCAGCTCTGGAAGGGGCTAGAGCCTCCATTTTTGCACTCAGGTCTAAGTCTCATGGCCCTCTATCAGAATCCAGAGTTTTGGGAAGATTGGAGAAACTTAATTTTTCGCCCCAAAAAAAAACGTAAGGGGTACCACTGTCGTTTTTTTTTTCGGGCCGAATTTTTGAGTTTCGATATCTCAGCTCTGGAAGGGGCTAGAGCCTCCATTTTTGCACTCAGGTCTAAGTCTCATGGCCCTCTATCAGAATCCAGAGTTTTGGGAAGATTGGAGAAACTTAATTTTTCGCCCAAAAAAAAAAAAACGTAAGGGGTACCACTGTCGTTTTTTTTTCGGGCCGAATTTTTGAGTTTCGATATCTCAGCTCTGGAAGGGGCTAGAGCCTCCATTTTTGCACTCAGGTCTAAGTCTCATGGCCCTCTATCAGAATCCAGAGTTTTGGAAGATTGGAGAAACTTAATTTTTCGCCCCAAAAAAAAAACGTAAGGGGTACCACTGTCGTTTTTTTTTCGGGCCGAATTTTTGAGTTTCGATATCTCAGCTCTGGAAGGGGCTAGAGCCTCCATTTTTGCACTCAGGTCTAAGTCTCATGGCCCTCTATCAGAATCCAGAGTTTTGGGAAGATTGGAGAAACTTAATTTTTCGCCCAAAAAAAAAAAAACGTAAGGGGTACCACTGTCGTTTTTTTTTCGGGCCGAATTTTTGAGTTTCGATATCTCAGCTCTGGAAGGGGCTAGAGCCTCCATTTTTGCACTCAGGTCTAAGTCTCATGGCCCTCTATCAGAATCCAGAGTTTTGGGAAGATTGGAGAAACTTAATTTTTCGCCCCAAAAAAAAACGTAAGGGGTACCACTGTCGTTTTTTTTTTCGGGCCGAATTTTTGAGTTTCGATATCTCAGCTCTGGAAGGGGCTAGAGCCTCCATTTTTGCACTCAGGTCTAAGTCTCATGGCCCTCTATCAGAATCCAGAGTTTTGGAAGATTGGAGAAACTTAATTTTTCGCCCCAAAAAAAAAAACGTAAGGGGTACCACTGTCGTTTTTTTTTCGGGCCGAATTTTTGAGTTTCGATATCTCAGCTCTGGAA